CACATCAATAAATTTCTCTGGATAGCCGTTATCCAGTAGCGTCCTTCGAAGAAAGGCCTCCTCTTTTTGGACAGTGTCAGATGAACATATATTCCTGGCTCGATGCAACATCGTTTTCACCAGACCTCTTTTGTGAGCCACAGGAGCGAAACTGGCAAATTGTAAGTATTGTCCACTCCATGTAGTCTTACGGTAGATGGATCTTTGTAAGGTTCCATCTGATCGCCTCCTGATTTTTATATCTAAAAAATTCAAACAACCATCTTTTTCTTCCTCGAGGGAAACTAAGAGGTTGGGATGAATAGTATTAAACAGTGTTAAAATGCTCAGGGTCAGTAAAAATCAAAATATCATCAACATAACGTTTGTACAAAACAGACATTGAAATATTATCATTCAATCATCTTTCAATCATTCCAAGAAAAACGTCGGCTAAAACTGTTTAATACTATTCATCCCAACCTCTCAGTTTCCCTCGAGGAAGAAAAAGATGGTTGTTTGAATTTTTTAGATATAAAAATCAGGAGGCGATCAGATGGAACCTTACAAAGATCCATCTACCGTAAGACTACATGGAGTGGACAATACTTACAATTTGCCAGTTTCGCTCCTGTGGCTCACAAAAGAGGTCTGGTGAAAACGATGTTGCATCGAGCCAGGAATATATGTTCATCTGACACTGTCCAAAAAGAGGAGGCCTTTCTTCGAAGGACGCTACTGGATAACGGCTATCCAGAGAAATTTATTGGTGTGCACAGCAGACTAAAGACACCGGTTGATCCCGTCTACAAAGTACCAAAGAAGAGCGTCTTCCTCAGACTCGCCCTTAAAGGCGATCACATAATGAACGACGTGCGTCAAAAGCTCAAGGCGGCACTGTGCCGAACGTTTTCTGCCGCACAGCTTCGATTGATACCGTGTACCCAAGGATTTCGTTTAGACAATCGAAAACAGAACCAGTCGAACGATTTGATATTCATTAAAGGTTTGAATCGATTGGGATCCGGTCGATTTACTTTGGAACAGACAGTGAATCCCAGGAACTCCAACTCCACCATTCCAAACATGCACTTAGATGGTTTGATGCACACATTTTTTCTCCATGAATCGCCTAAGAAGTTTCTTCAATTTTTTTATCATGTACTTCTTTCGTTGCTCCAAACACAATCACGTCGTCTTGATATGCCGTAACACCGCGTAACCCGGACACAACATTGTCTATTATGGACCGAACGATACATGCAAACCAAACGGGAGAAAATTGTACTGGAACAATCCCCATGGTGTATTGATCGTTTTAAACGCCGGCTAATCTGGATGCAACGTAATTTGAAAATAGGCATCTTCCAGATCAATTTTCGAGAAAAGCTGACAACCGCATAGGGACTTCATGAAGTCCTCCGTCTCCATGGTCGTCACTGCACATTTTCGCAATCGCGGATTGAGTGTCAATCGGTAATCCCCACATATCCTCGGATTTCTGCCATCACTTTTCATCGCGGCAACAATCGGAGTTGCCCATGTCATTCGGGAAATAACACCAGTCTTCTCCATCGGGTCGATTGCATTCAGAACACCTTTGCGTTGTCCATACGGTAACACACGCCTTTTCGGGAATGCTGGATCATCGTCGACCTCCAAAAGTGCTTCAGGAACGCTCATNTTCCTCCCGCATCGGATTAACAGCTTTCGAATTTCCTCGGTCGTATCGGATTTCAGTTCACTGATATGTAGAGAAACGGAATGCCCCAGCGTTCTCATCGCTATAAATCCAAGAATAGACGGACTATCTTGTGACACCAAGAATCGAATGGACACAAAATTGTTATCCTGGGAATGGATCAACAAAGTTGTCTCACCCAATAGCGGAAGGTGTCCAGTTACACCATAGATTCATCTTGTGGTCGGTTTTACCATAGCATTTGGGCATACATATTTGAGGGCTCCACGTGAAGTGATGGACTCAGCACTGCCGGTATCCACCATAAAACTGTGTCTAACTCCGGATTCAAAAACAATATCCTTGTAAATGAACTGCTTATATTCGCCCATGGTTCGTAATGTATAAATTGAGTTGATTTCTTCTTGACAGTACGGTGTACTCATCATTTTGCATTTCCGTTGACGGCATACCTTCTGACCAACTTTACCCCAGAAATGACACTTTGCATCTCTGAATCGACAGTCGAACCGCAAATGGAATTGACCGCACGACGTACACCGAAGGATATTAGTGTTTGGGTCCTCTGGTAAGAGTAATTGGTCTTTTGATTAGGAGATTTGAACTGCATCCCAAGTCTATTGCTTCGTGAACTACTCTGGAATAATGTAGACGACTCACCGGTTGTTGCTGCAGTGAGATGATCATGCTGCTCACATATCATCCACGCATCGGAAAATGTTAGATCTTTTTTTCAAACAACTTCCCCTGGAGAGTTATATTGTTAATGCCTGTCTCCATAATTGCACTCGGAAGCCTGTTTGTTGAGTAACAGAATGAAATCTCGATTAGGCATTGACTCAGCAAGATCAAACGAATTGAATTTTGCCCTCTCAGCAGCTTAGAGATCAACAGGAATCACGTGGGCAAGAAGCAATGGTTTCAGCATCGGGAATGGCAATTTGGCCGGATTGTCAAGGAAAGCGAGATTCTTCAGCAAAGAGCACATTTCCTTTCCATCAACTGTAAGAAATAGTATGGATTGCTTCTGTTTTCCGTTCTTCCATAGGCTGCACCAGAGCTCGAAACGTTCGACCCATGCTTCAATCCCAGACGGACGTGAATGTAGATTAAGGGATTCGATAGTGCGCAACTCCATACCGCGACGCCAATCGTAGTAGTTGGAATAGGAGTCGAATAGCGCGAAATCCGAATCGGACTGAAAACCCATTGAATAGCTCAAAGTCAGGTAAAACCAAGACGAGCTGTGGATACAGTTAATTCCATTCAGAAAATGATGCAAGTATGTAACACAAGCAACGAACCATCATTGGTGGATTCTTGAATCTCCAATCGACAATTTATGGTGTACTTGTTTACCTTCTCGCATTCAGCCAATCCGGTTAGCACCAATTGAGACCAAAGGATTAATTGGTTAGTTCGTTTCTTGATTGGTTACCTCGAAGCTGTACCGCGGTGCGTGCGCATTCGTTATACGATCAACACACTTGCACGCACGTTTGGGTCCGTTGCGATGCAGTACGCAAACCCCACGGGCTCTATATAACGGCTCTTACCGCGTAATCGGACGTAGCGAGAAACAGATAGTCATCGATAAGAACGGTAACTACAAGACCATCTCCATCGACCGCACGAAGTCAGCTTAAGTCGACGCAACATCCCGACGGTAACCCTAAGGCTACGGACACCAGCACACCGACAGCCCACACTCCAGATTCAAACATTTCCATCACTCCTGCAGCATTACTCTCTACTTCAGGAACGCCTCCACTGCATTCTGCTTTAGCTGTTTCAAACCCCAGAATCACTCGAATCGGCCGCTGGGTCCAAATCCCAACTCGTTTTCTGGAATGCTTTTACTACTAATGCAATTTGTTTTACAAAAAAATAAAAAAACTTTTCTACGTACTGTTTACATATATATAGGCTTACATATGCAAAAGAAAACTAAAAATAAACAATCTTTTTGCCTATCATAGGCGTACCTGTTTATTGGTTCATCCTTTTGCGTTAGTGTAACCTTCCTCAGTTCCTTTTTTATTTTGCTTACACTGTAGAGTTGAGGAACGTTTTTATTCGCATCATGACTAGCACACGGATTGCAAGACATTTTTATTCGTATTTCTCGATTGGTAATCTTTCTCCGCCTTGTACATATTGCATCTTGCAAGCTACAGGGCTTAGTTTTTCTACCCAATGCCCTAGATGGCTTATGGGGAGGTTGACGTGTTTAAAAGCATAAATAGATGCTTGTAGCGCGCAGGTATCTGTGCTCCAGATAGTGACATCATCTGCATACATAGCTACGCTTGCAGGTGGTGGTTATTATAAATAAGAAAGAGAGGACGACCGAGGACAGCTCCCTGAGGGACACCGGTTATAAATGAACTTGGTTCGAATAGTGTACCGTTATCCTTCACGGTGAAAGTGCGGTTAGAAGGAAAGCTGAGGATGAGGGTTAGAAGAGGAACAGTGATTCCACACACCCCGAGTTTGTGTGAGCGGGACGTGTGGGACCTTGCCGAAGGCTTTGGTAAAATTTATGTAACCAGTGTGAGTTTGCCTTCATCTTAAGCCTTTGTTCAACTATTTATGACAGTCAGGATATTGGTGTTTCAAGATTTGCTCGGCAGAAATCCATGTTGGAAAGATGAAAGTAATTATTTATTCGCGCAGAGTTGTTTCAAGATGGCCTCTTTCATAATGCGCTCTAGAAGTTTATTCGGTACATTAGTCAAGGATTTAGGGCGGTAGCTTACTGGAAGGGAAATTTAGTGCCAAGGGAGTGTTCCGGAAGGTGAGATCTGAGAATCAGGATTTGCCTTTTGGGAATCCGTGCTGTGGGCCATTGAATAAGCCTTCGATGAACAGAAAGACGCATATTGTCTCGCAGGATGTGCTCGGACGTTTTGGCTTCCATATTAATTCGAAAAATAGTTTGATATATCGGATCTATTTTCGTCTTTGAAGACGTGTATTACAGTAGTTTTCTTCTAGGTTGAAGGTATGAGAGTGACAGATTGAATAGAGAAGCCACCACGGGGCTAAGGTGATTGATGATGCACATAATCGGCTGTACTATCCCAAGAATGCACGGATTACGGATCACAAATCAAGATCGCAAGCGAAGCACAGAATCACGCATGTTGCAGTCCGGACACATAACGCACTTTCTTTGAATTAAGCTGAGGATAAACGTGCACAAGGCGACACTGACATAGCGACAGTACAGCCAGTCAATGCTCCGAATCAAACCCATCTCGATTCCATTCTTAGATAAAGAGGTCTATTGAGACGTCCCCTTAAAGTAACCTATGCTAGTTATCCATTTAAACTTACGCAAACTGTCAGTCGAAAAACCCAGTTCAGTTCCGATAGTACAACCATTCACCATGCACTTTCGTGCCCCGGTTTTGGTTGCTGTCTTTTGGATGAAGCAGTAGCGGAAAGTTGAAAGTAGAGTCAGAGATAATGCAGAATTTCAGTGGACTAAGGTTGCAAAGAAATTGCAACGATGGACGAACATCATTGTTCTAAGACACTCAATGTCCAACCATTAATTACAGTTATTCTGAGATCCTCACCCAGAAAGCCGAACGCGACCTATTTGACCGAGTCTCCATTTAGGGTTTTCATACCCTCATGCCTGGTATCATTTTGACCATTCTTGACTTTTTTCCACTCACTACTTGCAAACAACGAAGGACGACCACTTGCCCTGAATAGAGGTTTCATTGTCACTAACAAAGAATTCCAAGGAGACGTTCTGCGCTCCCGTCGTTAGTCGTCTGATGATGAGCGAACAGATGATGCCTCCCAAGTGAGTTTGTAACTCCATAGTTTGATTACTCAGAACCAAATGAACAAATAATGGTTTTTCTTCAGTACAACCTGGGAAAGGGTGAAACAAGACAAGGAAAAATCGATAGATGAGAGCCATTCGCCAAGAATGGTACAAACGGCAAGAATCAAGTCCACGGGGCTATCCCAGAAGCAGCAAGAATAGGTCGGTAACAAAGGGAAAAAACGGGAACACATGAAAATAAAGATAATCTATCAATGAATTAAATGATTTGTTCATAAAACTATATAGATACAAAGAATATACTCATGAATGAGGTTCACTGAACATGCTCACCCGGTAAATAGGAAAAGGCACATGGTAGCTTTTTTATGCACAGGCGGTAGGATGAGTACAGAATGAAGTCTCATTTCCGATGGTGCAAACAGTGACAGAAGCGGGACAAGAGAATCACAGTAGCAGCTGGAACATTCCAAACCTCCAGGATGTTACCGCATCAAACGAGAATGAAGGATGACAAAGAAAAATAAATCACTGGTCTGTTTAAAACAGCAGTCAAAAACAAACGACTAGAAATTCATTGAGACGAAACATGAATAAATACCCTTTTGTGATAACGTGGTGAAAATCAGGACGAACTGGTGTCCGGTTTACCAAAAGCTTCAATTAATTGCATTAGTGTGGCTACTGTTCCACCCAAAAAGCTGATAAACCCGATGAAGATTATTACCATGTGTTTCGTAAACACAAGGAACCAAAACCAACGGATTGAGTGGCGACTGGGCCACAGATGAACCAACTCCAATATCGGTGGTAGAATAAAGGCAAGCATGGAACTAGCCAAGGAACCAATCAGGGAGATCATCAATTCCAGTCGAGGGATCGTAACAACCATCAGATCTGAAAAGAAATTGAAAACAGTATTTGCATATTCAATATATAAGAGAGAGACCACTTTATAACATGTATGAAATTGAGGAAACTGTATGAACGTATTACAATCGAAACAAGAAAGATGTAATCAAAGAAAGTAGAAAAACTTAATTATTAGATCTAGGTAACATGTAGTATCATAGAAACAGTTGATTAAAAGCCGGAACCACCAGAACGACATGGCTGACTTGGCTGTCAGACAGAATGATACGGACAGGTGCATGTGTACAGTTCATGACTATACAAATGAATGCATCTCTATTCTCATGTTCTCGCAAAGATGTGCTCCTGGTCTGTGAAATTCAAAGCCCACGCAAACACGCAAACTGTGAAGTTCACAACACCTCTTCTAACGTGAAAACATCAGACAAAATCGATCGACACTGGAAATAACACCTATCAGCCAGAGCGTGGCGGTGAGGATTGCAGACCGAAGCAGGTCAATCACACGAACGCACAAACACGCATGCACCATGTGCTATGAAGGTTTAATGACTGACGAACAGTGATGCGCCAACATAATCTAGGCCGTCAGTCAATTAGGTCATACAGAGGGCGAACAAGTTCACACACACACACACACACACACACACACACAAACGGTGTAAGCCCAGTGAAGTAAAACCACTCACAAGGGTTGTTGCATATATTTGAATTAGAGCATTGCATACTCGTTAATTTATGGACATTTATTTAACTGGCATCGCACTTGTACCTGAGTAGGATTGCCGGCAGACCACGATAACATATTTGGTTAGATGAGCAGTTTTGTGCACACCGAACCCCCTATGAAATAGCACCCTCTGCATATGACTAATAAACTGAATGACCATTTATTAAGGAAAAATGTCTAGAATCCTGGACGAAGTTGGCATAATGTTAGATCAGGTTTAAGTGACGCAACTTGCGTGATAGCAACTCATAGACCACTCAGTTGGTCACATGCATTTGTTTCCACCTAGTTGCGTAGGCTGGGTTGAACAACCATGACACTCAACTATTGTACCCGCCGTCCATTTACAAATATTGAACACGTCACCATGGTGCGCGTGCTTCTTTTGGGCACAACTCTGCGTTGGTTACTGCCGAACATTATCGATTTCTGTTCAATCAAGACAATCACCTCAAGTCCCTGGTGTGTGCGGTGCTCTTCCCAACAG